TTGAATTTGTGCCTTTTCATGGTTTCATATCATTCTCATCAATAGTAAATTTATGCCCGGGGAAAACGGTTTAGATCTGACCAGATATAATTATATCTGGTCAGACCTATTTATATCTGATCAGACATGGGACTGGAGACATAATCAGATCTAGTTATATCTGATCACATCTAAACAGATATAACTATATCTGAGTGAAAAAATACATCAGACATAATCAGATATAATCATATCTGATCAAATCTAAACAGATATAACTATATCTGAGTGAAAAAATACATCAGACATAATCAGATATAATCATATCTGATCAAATCTAAACAGATATAACTATATCTGAGTGAAAAAATACATCAGACATAATCAGTAAAAATCATTGAAAATGACAAGGTTACAGGTAAGATAAAAGGGAATTTTATGAGCTTTAACTTCAATTTTTCAGAAATAAGCTATCTCTTCTCAACTGAAAGTAATATCTCAAAGAACTCCATAGAAATCACGATTTTCATGATTTGGAAAATTATAAACAGCTGTCATTTCTAAACTAATCAACTGATTTTGCTATCGTAATTAGCCACCGAATAAGTACACTAAACTTTTTTTAAGATCGTTTAAGAATTTTAGGCGCTATCCTGATGACACTCCCGGGAAAAACGGATTAGATCTGGCCATATATAAACAGATTTGGCCAGATCTGCTAAGGCTATTAATTATAGTTATTACAAACTCTACCTACTCTCGTTTCAAACAAGTCTCGTTGGTTAACAGGTAATCAATTAGTCTCTCAAGCGTCAGGTTCCAGGTTCGGTTCCCGTGCGCGCCGATTTTTTTTTTTTTTTTTTATGAAAATAATTCTATATAATTGTATATAATTATATATGGCCATTTTTCGTATATATAATTATATATAATCATTTTTACCCGGGCAATTTTAAAATTTGACCAGATCTGGTCAGATCTGATTATATCTGGCCAGATCTCGTCAGATAGAGACAATTTAAAGGTCTGGCCAGATCTGTTTATATATGGCCAGATCTAATCCGTTTTTCCCGGGATGAAATTTAAACCACATCAAAATTTTGACTTTTACTATTTTTGTAAGGACTAAAAAATGTGAAAAAAGCCTCATTTTTCAGTTTTTTTTATCTCACCCATTTTGTTATTTATTAATACAATTAATATCCCTGATTAAAAAAAAAAATTTGATAGAATTAAAAAAATTTATACCCTCACGAATGCTATCCAATCCTGAAAATATGATTCAAAAGGATTCAGCATGATTCAGAATTTTTAATTCTGTTAAATACTATTTAATTCTAAAAATATGATTTAACAGGATTTGAAATGATTTAAACTGTTAAATACTGTCAAATGCTTGTAAATCATAAAAATATGATTAATTAGGATTTAAGATGGTTGAAAATTTTAAATACTACCAATTACTTTTAAATTCATAATAATGACTACGTATATATTGAAAGTAAATAATTTTGGTTTTTGTGTTTTAAATAAGCCGTTGTCAAGTTATCATGTACGTCAGCGACACACTAACTTTTTAAAGTGCTTCAACGTCCACCCGTTGTTTATTCATATAAAAAATATAGAAAAATAAATTTAGATATTTTTTTTGTTATTCAAGAGTGTATTTTTTTAATTGAATAAATTTTAAATTAATATCTATAACAGTTCCTGTATAAAAAAATGATCAATATTAACTTTTTTTCAAGCGCCGGAACCAGAACGACTCCTTAATGAAAACCATTGAAAATTTTTTTCCACTTTTTAACTTGGTTTGTTATTAAAAAATGTTTCTTACTTTTTAAAACTACAATTTATTTATCTTCCAAAACTTATTTTTATTTTGAAAGTTTTACATTGTTAAGCTCGGAAAATTAAAATCCATTTATTTTAAAGAAAATTTTATAATTCAACCAAAATTTAAATAGAAATCTATAATATAATGCAATAGTATTTTTTTCATTTTAATAAACACGCAAAAAAGTGATATACTTATAAATAAATATTTTATCCTAAAAAATGTTCTTACAACCGGTAAATATTTATTACTGTCTTCAATTATGAAAACAAAAATTATAGTTTGACGACTTTTTGTTAACTTTGCGCGACGAATCATATAATCGAATTAGAAGAGAAATCGATGCATAAAAACGTTATGAGAAAAAAAAAACTCTCTGATTTTTGGTGATCGGAATTATAAAACGATAATAGCCCAACTTCTTTCTTAAACTTTACACATATATAAACCAACCTTGGATGGAATGGAGCTCCTCGAATTGCAATGAAACCAAGCACCAGGCTTGGGTGGTTTAAAAAACGCCAAAGGACCACCGATGGTGAACAATATTGTTACATTATATTTAATATTTTAAAATAAGACTAAAAGATTAATCTCAATACTTTATTTTTAACTTCATCATATAATATTGCATAAAATTATATATTAGTAGAGATTTTCAAGAAAAACAGAAAAAAGACGGTTTGTAATATTTTTATTCTTGCTCATCATATTATAATACTTAAATCAATAATTAACAGCTTAGGGTTGACATTATCATTGATGTTTTAACCTTAACATAAATCACAATAATGTATAAATATTATTAAATGTGTAATTAAATATATAGTTTTTTAAGTTTTTGATAATTTTTGTATCGACGTAAGTTTTGATATGTTAAGAATTTTTTTGTAAATTATTTTCATACACGAGCCCAGAAATATATTTTAACTAATGAAGGAAAGAACTTGAATTAAGAAAGAAAATTGTTAATCAAGAAAATCATTTTTAATTGTTAAGAAATTGTATATTCCCATCATAAGTGTTAGATTTATAGAATTTTAGCTACCTAGTACATTGAGAGAAAAAATTTTTTTTGAAAAAATGGGCATTGTTGTGACAAAAAAATTAATTTTAGACAACTTGCGAATTTTAATCCAAAATTATTTTTTCCCATATCTAGAAAACTTTTTTTCAACAAAAAAAGTGAAAAATTTTGTGTTTTCAATTAAGAAATAAAATCGTTGAAAATTTTCAAAAAATTATTTCCCTATTACACTATTGCTCATTTTATACAAATACAATTTTTTCTCGCAGTGTCGTAAAACTAAATTCTTCACATCAAAAAAATTCGGCAAAATAAACAATAAAATCGAAAACAATTTTCTTGGCTAAAATTTTTCAAGTTCATTCTCTTATTAATGCAATACAATATCATTACTGATACAATTTTACTTATGACCTATTTTTTTATTCTATTTTACCAGTCTTGAATACTACTCGGAGAAAAAGGTCATTCTCAACCAATACAAATATCGTCTTTCTTAAACTACAACCAAATATAGAGGTTTATCAATTCAAGAAAGTTTTCATAAATAATACTAACGCAAAGAAAATTTTTTTCTGGTTCAAGAAAATTCAGTCTTTTGCTCTAATAAATTTATGGCCTTTAGTGATAGTTGAAAAAAAAAATACTTCGCTTACAAAGAAAGTTTTTAAGGGTCAACAATAATTCTCTTGACATCAGTGAATTAACTTAGAGTAATGAACAACAATTTTCTACCAAGCAAAACATTTTTTCAGATAATTAAACTCATAGTTTAATGGCAATAAATCATTTTTGCTATAATTACAATATCTATAACTTAAAGTTTTTAAATATAATCATCAAGCCTAAATCGTGACTAAAAATTTCATCATAAATACCAATACTAAAAATTTTAATTAAGGTAGTTGTCGTGGTTAAGACATACTGTCAGAAAATTCTAAATTTTTGTATACTTATTAAGGACATGATGATTAAAAATTGTATATTTAACATTGATTGCATACGCTCTCTGCAGTTCTGTATCAGTTTCTTAGTTATAATAAAAAAAAACTATCATAAACTTTTAAAAAATCTGACAGCATTTTAATGTATTTGTTGAGTTTAAAAAAAAATAAAAAAAACTTTTTGACCGTCTAATTATTTATAAATAACGGATTAAAGTTCAACAATTTATGAAAAAGTATATATCTACGGAGTCGGACAGAAACAATTGTATGGGTTGCTTTTCCACGGGCACAGTTTTGCGTACAAATTATAGATTACTTAGCTACAAGATCATATAATTTTGCGGTGCGTATACTCTCTAATTTTTTGACAATATTGTACCACGACAACTACCTTAATCGATGTTATGTGTATAATTGACGATTAAAAAATAGCTTAAAAAAAAAAAGTTTGGAAAATCCAAAAGTGCACGCCTCATAACGCTCATTCATTTTTTAAGAAAAAATAACTGTGTTATTGATTAAAAAAAAAAAAAATTATAACTGAATAATTTTTTACAGAGTATTTTTTATTTTTTTTTTTTAAATATCAGCGCCCTTTTTTCTTGTCATATGCACACGCAGTCTAAAAAAATCTAGCTTGATCAAGTGGTGCCATAGTTTTCACGTGACAAATAAGAATAATTCGTTTGTCTTTGTACGGTTGTATCGTAGTGAATTTTAATAAAAATTCAATTTAAAATAAAAATACGTAAACTAGGCTACTGATATGAAATACGGACCCAGTTTATGGCATTCTTGAACTAATAAAAAAGGTCCGGTCTTGAAATATCAATTTGTTCGGGAGTAATCGTTGGTACATCCAAAATAGGGTGACATCCGGACGTTCACGTAAAATTTTTTTCAAAACATTATTTTTTTCAAAATAGCTACATGAAATGATTTTAGAAAGTAAAAAATGGTTTAATTTAAGTGTTTTCTCGGTGTACATCTACTTATATTATTGTATAAGTGTCATATAGTTGTGATAGAGCCATTTAAAGATCACAAAATTGCTTGACCTTGACGAGTCGAGTATAAAGCACAACCTCACGCGCTTCGCGCTATGAGGCGTGCAAAAAGTTTATGATTTTCCACATATCCCCCCACAAACGGTAAAATTAAATCATAAAAAGTTTTTTATTTACACTAATAAATAACTTCAATAAATAGTTCACTGGAGTAGATCATAAAGCGCAGTAATATATGACTGTGCCATCTGAAGTGTTTCATATTTCGACAGTTGTCTATCATTACCTAAAGACGGCAAATACGCACGAAGTCTATCGAAAGCTTTGTTAAGATTTTGCATGCGTCTTCGTTCGCGTGCATTAGCAGCGAGTCTTCGTTTTTTAACAACCGTCGAATTAACATATTTGCTACGTTTCCTGGAATCTTCAAAATCACTTGAATTGCCATCACTCTCAAAATCCATATCAATGTGATCAGAAAGAGATCCAGAGCTTCCAATACTATGGCTCAATTTTTCTTCACTTTGGTGCATTTGAATGCCATCTTCTTTATCTTCATCAACTTTACTCATTTGTAAACGAATTTGAAGGTAACTTGATCTATTTGAGTCATCTAATTCACAGCGATCTATTTTCCTCCTTTTCGATTGAAGCTGATGGTTGATAACTTTTTCAGGCGTCGAATGTAAATGATCCTTTGACGATTGTGAAATGGGTGTTGAAGGGCTGATCGACCTCAAACTTGCAGGAGGACTTGGTGTATGCCAACCGTCACTTTCGTTATTGTCATAAATAATACAACGAGATTGAACTGTTAGCACTGAACTCACTGGTGGCAGCAGAATATTTTTTTCTTTTCGATAAGAATAATCTGACAATTCCAAATACGTTGGTGTGTTGCTTTCTTGTTTGTGTGACGCGAACATGTAACCATAGCGGAACATTATTTTAATTTACGCGCACAAAAAATATTAATGTTCAATATAAATGTTTATTATTCTCACAAAACCATTTCAATTATTTTTACTCTACGACTTTAGATTTACAAATAACAAAACTTTTGCCGAGAAATAATTTACAGTGAACCTTAACTTATTTACGATCGATACTAACATAAAATACCTTACTCGGACTGTGGGAAGATTCTGAGGTAGCGAAGACGAGAGTTTTGGGATTTATGTATTTGAGAAGTGAAGAAGATCCGTGCCGCACGTGCCTCATAACCAATAAGAACCCGAGAATAGTCCCCACCAATTTTTAACTTAACTCACACTGGGAAAAGATCCCACAACAGGTGGCCCAGGCGCCCGCATCCAGACTTTGCTTTTTTTATTCTCATCCAAATCTTATAATTATATCTATTTAAACGTTGGCGTGACTAAAAAAATATCACATCCGTACGAAATTTTTATTGGGTTTAAAAACAATTTTTTTTCTTTTGCAAAGTCATGGTTTAAAATTTTATGATTGATCTAATTAAAATTATACTATTATTTTATTTAAATATTTTATTCAAATTTTTAGATTAACACACAGTAAAAAATTTTACGTCAAAAATAATTTTTTTTTTAATTTTATGTCAAATATTTAAAATTTTTTCGTATTGATTTAAGAGTATTAACACAAGAAAGTGTTAAAATTACACATAAATATGTTGAATATTTAACAGTAAAATTTTTTACTGTGTAAAAAATAATAAATTCAAATTTTTGTACCTTTGAAAATATTAAATTTATGAAAAAAAATTTAACTATTGCTCAAAAATTTGTGCAATTTATCGAAACAACAAAATTTCTTAAAATATTACGATATAAAAAATGAAAGTAATAAAAAAATAGATAAAAATTAAAATACCAAAAAAATCACACAAAATACTTTATAAAAATAAGGTCCAGTTACATCTTTTCTCGTTCAATTAGCTAAAACAGGTAGGATAAAGTGTACAGAAAGCGCAAAGGTGGTCCAGTCAAACTGGTAATCCAATCTCTTGTTCTACGACTTTGGTTCTCTCTTGTTCTACGTAATTTCTCTGTCATTTGGTACTACAAGGTTTGAAAGTTTACAATAGACCAAATAATTATTGTTTTGAACTTTCTGTTAAAAAAAAAAAAGATTTTATTTTTGTAAATACAAATTTAATTAAAGTCGGACAGAAAGCAGGAAATTTGAAGTTTGTTTTGGTTAATAAAGATTATTGTTTCAACTAATAAAACAATTTTGATATAATATCATTAACATTATCATAATACGCATTTATTATTACAAAACAATATTTTTGATGATCCTAAAAACTGGGACCACACAAAGAGTTCATCATTTTATTTAAATATACATAGATTGGATGGTCAACGATCGACAACTTTATATTCAATTTCAATATTGAATATTAAGCAGAGGTCAGATTATAAAATGAACGAATTTAAAAAGTTATTTTCAAACTCTAGCTTGCAGATACATCTCAGTTAAATTTTTTTTTATTTAATAACTTTTTAAATTTCAATTTTAACTGAAAGGTTGATGCCAAAATTTAAAGTATATGTAGTTTATGCTAATATAATATATCAAAGTCTACTTTACATATGACGTCAAAACAATTATTAGATTGTATGTATATACTTAAAAAATTTTTTGTAGTTTAGAACATTCGATATTTTTCTATATCATAACAAAAAACACTCTTAACAGCACAAGAAAAAAAATAAATTTCTTTGTCCTAATATCAAGAAAAAATATCAATAGTCAGTTTAATGTTTTTGAAAAAACTATCATAATAATACATATTTTCGATTTTTTATAAAAATATTAAACAATTTCGGGAATTTAAATTTACCACGAAAAAAGAAGGGGTTGCTTATCTTCACACAATGTCTTCAGCTGACACTTGAGAGATGAACAACAATCAGCTATTTAGTTTAGGGTAGTTGTCGTGGTTAAGGCACACCGTCAGAAAATTCTAAATTTTTGTAAAGTTCAAATAAGTGTATAACATTTTGATTTTAATTCAATAAAATGCAGTGTGATAAATAAGAAATTCAAAGTAAACAAAGATTAAATTCATTAAGCAAATTAAATTTCAACTGAATAAAAATTAATAATAATTGACGAATAAACAGTGACAAAATAATTAAAAAAATAACCACGTGTGTTGACAAAACAACTTCAGGTATTGTCTATTTTTTATAATTCTCCCATGTGAAGTTTAAATGATAATTTACTATTAGATAAAATTTTGTTTAAATTAAATTTGTGTTCAATATATATTGGAATAATTTAAATCAATATTTTATTAATAAAACCTATCCCTCTAATTTTCTGGGTTCCCGGTCTATTGGTGAAAACATACTAGGACCAAAATAAATTTAATTCGTTTTTGTCCAATCTGGACATAACACTAAAATTCATGATTTTCAACAAGGTATTGACTACTATGTTTACATGATTAATTTGTTTTAAACAAAAATAACAAAAAAATTGCTATATAAACAATTAAAAATAAATAACAAAGCATTAAATTCAGTCATCAAAATCATCCCGTAGGGTTCGTTCAAGTAAACCTGAATGTATACCCACGCGTTTACGTAAACAATAATTGTTAAATTCTCTGTATTTGTAAGCCTGAATAAAAAAATTAAAAGTGATGAAGAAAAAAAAAAGGCAGGAACTCTAAAAAAGATTCCTACCAAGACATTCTGACATTTATTTAAAATGAGGCTGATAAATATGTAGATGGAAACAAACTGCTGATAAAAAAATTAGGACGACGGTTCACCCTAAAGGCCATCCCTGCAACTTCCCGCTCATTTTGTACTTAAGCGCTCAAAATTACACATTACATTATTGAGCTCTTCGAGCTCAAAAATATGATTTTTTTGTCATTTTGAGCTCTCCGAGCTCAAAACTTTAATAGCAGTTCAATAAAACACAATTTTTTGAATTTTCAAACCGCAATAACTTTTGAACGAATGAACCGATTTTCACGCTGTTGGCGGCATTCGACGAAGTTTTTCAAATTCTATGATATACTTTTGAACACGAATTAATCAGACCGAAAATTTCGGTGTAATTCGAAAAAAACACTTTTTTCGATTTCTTTTGTCAACGATAACTCATGAACGAATCAACCGATTTTAACCGGCTTAGTAACGATCGACGTGGTTTTTTTATGTTAAGAGCTGATTAGTTTTTAGAATTGATCGGTCGAGCCATTTGAAAGTTATTCAAGACAACCACATTTGAAAAAAATTTTTTTCGCAGTTTTTTTAAGATTTCTCCAAATCTATCGGTCCGAATCGATCCAACTTGTATTCAAAATCTAAGTTTAGTTGAACCCTTTCGAATGGCACCAACCGCGATCAAATCGGTCAAGCCGTTCAAAAGTTATGAGAGGTTTACACACACACACACACACACACAGCCGCACGGACACCATTGCGGGAATAATCAGGGAAGCTTCCTAGGACCTCAAAACGTCGAGATCTGATGAAAACTCGATTTTCGAAAAACGGGGTAAAAACAATAACTTCCCGATTTTTGAAAATTTTCAATTTTCTTAGCGGGAAGTTAAAAAATTAATTTCGATGATCTCGCACTATATGTTTACGGTCGAAACATAAATAAAAAAAGAATTAAACTAAAAGAATTAGTTTGTGCAATTAAAAAAAGACTCCTAGGAGATCTCGGTAACCAAAACTCAGTATAGTGCTTAATAAGTAAAACAGTGCGATAAGGCTTGTGTAAGATGGTGTAGATGCAGCTTAGCATGATGCTCAAAACTTGTAATACATCCTTTAATTTTTAGGTACTGAGTACCTACACGGGCAAACCAGAACATTATGGTGCACTTTATGGAGAACTTTTTTGTAAAGCATTCAATTTCACATCAGAATATGCATCGATCATAGTCATAGTGACATTTTTTTCGAAGTAAAAAAATTAATAACAAAAAATTCCAAATTCCTATGTTTTTTAAATGGGAAATGTAACTCGATTTTGTCACGGTTTAATTTGGTAATTAAGAGCTTATTCATGTAAGATATTTTTTTTTTAGGTCAAGAACTAAAAATCCAGGGGGTAGTAGCGAAAAAAAAATCAACTTGGGAAATAACGGACACCCTAATATTTATTTAATGACTGCTACTTTCGCGTGGTGACAAAAATGCAAAAGCAATTATATATACTGACCTGGCTTGTCAAGCTCATCTCGAAGTTCAAGCTGAAATGTTTAAGATGAAAAATTAATATCAAACAATAAAAATTAAAATCATTGATTTTCTTTCATGTGGCTTCAAAAATATATTTTGGAGAATTGTATCAAGAAGAAAAACTTGAAATTACATGTACAGTTTGCAATTAAATATTTTTTTGTTCTAAATTTTTATTTTCGTATAATTTGGATTAAAATTTTTAATTTTGATAACTCCTGAAAGAATTATTAAAAAAATAAAAAGATTAATTTGGTACGTTGCAAATGTTGACAGTCGGAACAGTTCAAACTTATATCTGAGGCAGTTAATGAACCTTGTGAGTAATTCGTTACGCCCTTTTGTTGCATATGTAAGTTATTTGCTACCTTAGTAATTAATGCTAGAGCAAGGTTAATCGGTAACGCTTAAATAGCGACTTAATATATCACTTAAACCGTAATAATTGTATAATTAAGCTAATTCCAAGATAAATAACCGAGCTCCATCGTAATTTATTGATATTGTACAATCCACATTAAAATAAATTTACAAATAAAAATTTTGACATTATCGGCTTAGAGACTTTAAGGAAAAGTTTTAAAAATAAAAATTTTAATAAAAAAAATTAAGGAACACAGTAATAAAATTTTTGCAATTTATGTGTAAAAATTAATTTCCAATTTTTTGACGTGATAACGTCTTATAAATTGATGAACACCGACAGCGCTCACGAAAAAAAATTGGTTGTCTGTAAAGTCGGT